GTAGGTAGAGTGAGCTAAAATTAGACCAGAGATTTTCTTACTAATATATTAACAATCAGAGGTAGGGGGTGGGTGGGGTGTCGAACATCTCGACAGTTCCAGCGATCATTTAATGACACGATGTCTAAGTTTGTCAAACCCCCAGGTCAACACGAACATCATCACGTGAACACAAACATCATTACATGACCACAAACATCATTACGTGAACACGAACATCATCACGTGAACACGAACATCATCACGTGAACACGAACATCATCACGTGAACACGAACGCCATCAAGTGAACGATCTTTAGCACCCGCAGTGAACAAGTTATTAATAGGCTGCAAAATAAATGTGTAAAACAACAAAATACAATATCGTTTTATTTCTTCGCAATTTCCTTAGCTGAAAAATCCAGATTATAGACCCAAATTACTTAGTTAATACTAACTCTACTGACAAGAAAATGCGATTACATTTTATTACATTCTATTAGTTTTGATTTCATTTGAATACTTTCTAATAGTTTTGATTACGTTTGATTACATTATATTAGTTTTGATTACATTTGATTACTTTCTATTTGCCTTGATTACATTTGATTACTTTCTATTAGTTTTACTTACATTTGATTACATTCTATTAGTTTTAATTACATTTGAATACTTTTCTAATTGACATGTAGGCACCATCTTCAACTGGCCAAACAGTAGAAATCGATGGGATTAGCACTAAGCAGCAAGGGATTAGCACCAAGCAGCATAGCTCTATCTTTAAGCAGCTTTACTGCTAATCTGCGTGCACACATACAAAACAAAAACCTTGGATTTTTTTTCTTCATCTCTCATGTTTGTTGTTGTTGGCTTATCTAGGGTATTGCTGCTTAGTAAAAAAAAAATGTTTTTGTTTGGATGTTGAAATTTTGTTTTTGTTTAGTTTGAGCTGAAGTCTTATTACTTTGCGTTAGCTTAACTTTTACAAATAGGCATGGGGATTAGTTTCTCAAATATTTCGTTGTTTAATAATTACTTATAAGCTCGCAATCTTCTTAAAATACTAACATGTTTTGACCCCTAACCCCCCACCTCCCACTCCCCGGGGTAAACTCAGCAACAACAAGCATTTTAAAACCTAACTCCCTCGGTAATACTGAATTAAAATTACTTACGTGTCAGAAGGATTTTGTAAGAAAAATCGATAGCAGCTGTTTTGAGAGTAAGCACTAGATTTGAGAAACGGAAAAAAAAAAACTAGCCAGGATGTAGGAGGCTATGGGAGGCGACTCGCCTAGGGGGAGGAAATAATTAAGAAATCACCATGACTAACAACTCGCGCGAACCGGAGATGACTAGTGGTAGTGTTCGCCCCTGCCTTAGGGCGCCAGGGTGGAGTTAACAGTTTGGTTTGAATTTGTTACAATTCTAGTTCAAAATAAAAACATTTGTGTTGGAGAAAATTAAGTACAGTGTCACAAAATAAAAGTACAGTTTTACAGTATAAAAGTAGTGCTTCAACATAAAAGTACAGTTTTACAGTATGAAAGTACAGTTTCACAGTATAAAAGTAGTGCTACATCATAAAAGTACAATGTTCTGAAATAGATGCACAGTATATCAGTAACAACATAAAAATGTCTCAAAATTAAAGTACAGAGTACTGTTATATTGTGAATTTGCGTCGAAGTGAATAACTTAAAAAAAACTTGTAGACATAAGATATGACCAGAATTTAAGAATATTGCTGTGACAAGGACCTATGATTTTGTGGTGAAAAAAAAATTAACAATTTTGAAGTGACAAAAAAAAATTGAGAATAGCTATGTAAATAAAAAAAGCTCATATAAATCTTTGGAATGTGGATAATTTCCTGCCAATAATGTTTCTATAATAAGACTCGACTTGTCTAAGATAGAAAAAAAAGTTCTTCCAGATTTACCTCCCCTTGACAATGACTTGATTCTATAATAGTTACGTCCCATTTGTCAGCTCAAGTCCTAATGAGCAATTATCGGTGTTTATGATGAAGGCACACATCAAAGGCGTCAGCCGACTCAGCGCTGACACCTCTTGACCTGAGACCCTGGCACCTCCTGAAACTCCCCTGGGCTTTACATTCCCCCCCCCCCCCCCCGGTTCGCGCGCCTCACGATCGCGTTAGAGAATGGATTGGATCTAGTTTTTAAGTTGTTTTTTTTAAAGTTGAGATACAAAAACAAAAATAAAAAATTGCGATGTAAAAAAAAAAAAAAAAAGCACCATGTTTTAATTAAAACCTCACCTTGACCGAAAAATTTGTGAAGTGTATTTTTTTTCAAATTAATACACACCAAGTCGGATAACTACCAACTTGCACTAATCATTGGCTAAATCTGGATCACTTCAGAATTTATTAAAAGTTTTACTTAGGTTGTACATTGGTTGACGCTTCATTGCGTTCTCTTTGTGTCTTCAATAAGCGCGTGTGGAATTTATTTTCCACGGACAATTTGCGGCATTACAGAAAGTGTTTGCAAAAAATGGTTACGCTCTGTTTTAGGCGACCTTCTTCCTTGCATCTGTTTGTATCAGATGTTGTAAAAAGAATGTAGCGCTCTGTTTTTGAGGCAGTCTGTGTGCAGTTAGAGCCGACCTTCTTCCTTGCATCTAGTTGTAGGGCCATCCATTGTTTATAAGCAGGTATGAGGGTCGGCCGTTTGGTGGTGATGTGGCTAGCCAGTCAGACTAAACCTGGGTCGGGAATTCAGTCTTACAGGTGCTCGCAGGTGAGTTCACAGGTGATTTCACAGGTGATTTCTTCATTCATTAAACATTTAACAGGTAGTTCTATAAACCGTTAAACAGGTAGTTCCATGAGCCATTAGACATGTAGTTCACTGAACTATTTCATGTTGTTCTATATTCAATTAGACATGTAGTTCCATGAACAATTTCATGTAGTTCTATATTCAATTAGACAGGTAGTTCCATGAACTATTTCATGTAGTTCTATATTCAATTAGACAGGTAGTTCCATGAACTATTTCATGTAGTTCTATATTCAATTAGACAGGTAGTTCCATGAACCATAAGACAGGTACGCTTATAAACCGTTTAACAGGTAGTTCTATAAAGTACTAGACAGGTAGTTCTATAAAGTACTAGACAGGTAGTTCTATAAAGTACTAGACAGGTAGTTCCATAAAGTACTAGACAGGTAGTTCTATAAAGTACTAGACAGGTAGTTCCATAAAGTACTAGACAGGTAGTTCTATAAAGTACTAGACAGGTAGTTCCATAAAGTACTAGACAAGTAGTTCTATAAAGTACTAGACAGGTAGTTCCACAAAACAGTGGAGAGTTCTCCCACTAACAGCACAGTACCGGCAGTTATGATTGTTTAGAACAGGGGTCGGCAACCTTTTGAGACGGAGGAGCCAAAAGCTTCAATTTACGAAATTTTCCAGTTTTTAAAGAGCCACTAACATTTTTATTTCAATACTTTGGTATTTAATTAGGATTAAGTGAATAAATGTTATTTTTATTTGAAATAAATAGCTTTATATATATATATATATATATATATATATATATATATATATATATATATATATATATATATATATATATATATATATATATATATATATTCTTATAAAAACATACAAATGTTTCGCACAAAACATATGAAAGTATAGTAGAGTGATCGCTTGCATTATTGTGATCTATAGCTTTTATTTTCTACTTTTTAGTTCAATCAGAAAACGTGGGTTTTTTAAAAACTTTTTTAATGATTATTATATTTTTTTAAGAGTCTTTCTCTATACGAGAAAGTAAAAACGAATGCTAAATGTTTGGTCTAGGAGACCCAAGGAAAAATGTTGGAGCAAAACTTACACAAGTAGTTAAACAATTCAACAAATTATGTATTTAAAGCATTCAACAGTTTTCTATTTAAATTAAGTTTAAAAATAAATTTGAAATCCCATAAAGTATATAAAATTGACAAAAAATGTATATAAAATATTTAAAATACATATTATGCGTAATATACAACATTGACTTCTGTTTTGTTTTAGTACTGCTGAACTTTTGTTTATTTTTAACAAAGTAAAAAAAATATATATTTAAACATTGCCTCCCCTGCAAAGTTTTAAACACATTAATGGGAGATACTGTTTACTATTAATATTTAGTTACCTTTTTCCACACTGCAGAGAATTTAAATTTACTGAACAATGATGCAATGCACACACATAAATGCATATATATATATATATATATATATATATATATATATATATATATATATATATATATATATATATATATATATATATATATATATATATATATAAAGAGAGAGAGAAAGAGAATGAGGGAGAGAGAGAGAAAGAGAATGAGGGAGAGAGAGAGAAAGAGAATGAGGGAGAGAGAGAGAGAAAGAGAATGAGGGAGAGAGAGAGAAAGAGAATGAGGGAGAGAGAGAGAAAGAGAATGAGGGAGAGAGAGAGAAAGAGAATGAGGGAGAGAGAGAGAAAGAGAGAGCGATAGAGAAAGAGGCAGAGATAAATGGAGAAAGATAGAGAGGGAGAAAGAGAGAAAGACAATCGTCAAACAACAAACTGAGGTGAACGAAATATTTCTGCGCGATAAAAAAGTTCCATGTTTCCCAAAATTAGACTCATACTACATCACATTAGATGCATTAGTTACATTTGAAATTACTATACATTTAGTACAGTGCCCCGTTCAAACCCCTTCCACCTTATTAGCCCAAACAAAACGGATCCGCGCCCAAAAGGACTTCAGACAAATAAAACACAAGACGAATAGGCTCCTGACAAATAACTAATATACTAGGTCTCTGTATATTTTAAAGTTCAATATTGTATCTAGCACCAGGCTAGAAATATTAATAGTTATACGCGAAATCCTGATTCAATCAATTAGCACAAAATAACAAAGTATTCCCGATCCAGCAATCTCGATAGAACTATAACTATAAATAGACGGGATTTTCCCGATTGCAACTCACCCAAGATGACACTCTTGTCCACGTCGAACCTGCAGATCCCTACCGAGGGGTCAGTGTGGTTGTCGTAGCGGTCAAAGGTCACCTCCCAGTAGTGGACGCCTTTGCTGAAGCCGACGCTGCCCAGCGCCACCCGGTGGTCGAACGTGCTGCAGGTGATGGTCGTGTTGTTGTTGCTTAGCAACACGTCCGGGTGGGTCATGGAGGGGTCGAAGGTGAACCATGCCACTGTGGAGGGAGGGGGTCAAATGGAGGTCAAGTTAGAACAACGAATGAAATAAAGAAACAAAAGCTTATGTATATATAAAATACCGATGACATGTTTTTACTGTATCAACTGTCGAAAGACGCCCCCCCCACACAAAACACACAGAAACACACACACACCACACCCACACCCACACGCACACGTACACGCACACACACACACACACCTAAAGGTTAAACAAAAATGTGGCATTCACAACACAGACTTGTGCTAAGGTCCACTTGCAACACAGCGATGTGCTTAGGTGCACTCACCACACAGTGATGTGCTAAGGTGCACTCGCAAACACAGAGGTGTGTTAGTGAAGTGGTGTGCTAGACGTCACCCTTCCTCTCCCCACCCAAACTCTTCGTCACTACAATTCCCATTTCTTTGAAACACTATTTGTTATTTGTTATTTTACATTTGATTTTTAAAAGCAGACAGTTTATTAGTATAAGAACCTGGTTAGGTAGTGGGGACCAAGAACACGTTGTTACAACATCAAAACAAAACAATTTTTTAAAAACCTAAATGACACTTCACACTTCATGCTACACACGTTATGCTCTACACTTCATACTTCATGCTTCACACTTCATGCTTCACACTTCATGCTTCATATTTCATGCTTCACACTTCATGCTTCATGATTTATGCTTCACACTTCATGCTTCACACTTCATGCTTCACACTTCATGCTTTACACTTCATGATTCACACTTCATGCTTCATGATTTATGCTTCACACTTCATGATTCACACTTCATGCTTCATGATTTATGCTTCACACTTCATGCTTCACACTTCATGCTTCACACTTCATGCTTTACACTTCATGATTCACACTTCATGCTTCATGATTTATGCTTCACACTTCATGCTTTACACTTCATGATTCACACTTCATGCGTCATGATTTATGCTTCACACTTCATGATTCACACTTCATGCTTCATGATTTATGCTTTACACTTCATGATTCACACTTCATGCTTCACACTTAATGATTCACACTTCATGCTTTATATTTCATGCTTCACACATCATGCTTCATGCCTCATACTTCACGCTCCACACTTCATGCTTAGTTAGCTATATAGAGAAAAACCGCATGTAGGCAATCACGCTTCTAGTACTTTTTTTGGTTGAGATGAGGCTTAAGGATACGCCATTCAAATGGTGAACTTAATGAGATGAGGCTCAAGGATAATTAAAACTAATAAATAGTCTCAGAATAATCTCTAATAAATTATAAAAAAAGGAAACGAGGGAATAAAAAAATGAGGGTAAATGACATTTGTAAACACCTCGTAAACATTTGCTTTCACTTCACTGACAAGAAGAATTATCGCCCTTACCATAAAAAAACAACAACACTGAACAAGCGCGGCTAATTCCACGGGAGTCACGTGATTGATGACGCCACTCTCGCGTCCCTCTAGAAATGTCTCTATAGAGAAGCGACCTTCCCCCAAGCCGAAGCGGATTCGCAAAATTAATAACAATAACAATAAATCAGGTTCATTAATTAATGCTTTATCTGGCAAGCACGGGGTGCCGTGTTGGGAAGAGTCCAACGTTAACCCAGGCCCTAACCACGCAGACCTGCCCGGTTTTTCTTTTTCATTCTCTCGTCGCAATGCGCGAGTACATAGCTCGTATAAGGCCCGCGGTCCGCTTTCTTGAGAACCGCTTTGACAATAACATCCTTTTTTACTTGGTGGTGAGCGTTAATTAGTCGCCCGACCCACCGGCCGCCCCGCGCGAGCCACTGAGCACGTGGACTGAAATTGAAATGCGCTGTCCAATTTATTTTTCACGAGTCGCTTAACTTTGAACTCAATCATTTTTTTTTTTTAGATTATCTGTCTGCAGTCGTGTCGGCCGTGACATAAGAAGACTTGAGAAAGACAGACACCAGACATTGATGTATACGGTTTATTGGCCATTCATCCAAGTTGGCTAATCACTCCATACATATTTAACTCACCCATTCACCCCCCCCCCCCCCAGCCCTCTTTTTTTCTCTGTCTCTGCCCTAGTCTAAGTCTCTGTTTTCTCTATCCTAGTCTACTGTCTAAGTCTCTCTCTCTCTCTCTCTCGAGCTCTGTCTGGTGCCTCTATACCTCTGTCGCCCTATTTGTAACTCTCCCTATCAGTAGCCCTACACTGGACTTACTGCAGTATCCGCCTATAATGTTATGGACACAAAGCCTAACCTGATCCAACGGTCCCCACCTTGTTATATTGCCCACACTGGCAGGTTACATCTGGTGTGTCCGTCAAGTCCTTTGTGTCCGTGTCGAGCTGATCAGTCCAAATGTCGCCACGTTACACCAGCGAATTGAAATTCTTGTAACTTGGACTTGTGTAGCGAGGCACTTCCAAAAGTAAGTATTGTGTCCGCAAAGATGACTTCCAAAAGGGAGTTAACAGCCTTAATTCTATATTTTGATCAAAGATCCCCCTTCCCCAGTTAAAGCATTGGATGAAAGTATTTGAATCGTTAGGTTTTAGATTCCGCAAATCTTGCCCAAAGAGTTGCCATTTGATGAGTTGGTGGTGTTGAATTCACTTTACTAAAGTAGACGGATCTTGAACAGTTCTATGTAAGGGTATTATAATAAACTCTGGGCTGGGAACTCGTGTATGTCCCACATCGAGGAATGGAAAACTTGACAAGAGCCACACTCGTATTGTAAAATTTAAAACATATATATTTAAACAAGTTAATTAAAAAGTCTAGTGACATTTAAGCGCAATTTCCTTATGTTATCTAAAAATAGCTTTGTCGTAGCGTAAATCAAGAGCAGGGTTAGTAAAACCATTGGTTAGTTATTAAAACTTTTTTTATTAACTTTTTTTTCAGTATTTTACATGTTTTATTTACAATATAGTTACATGACTAAAAACCATTGCGCGCCTAGCTACCGATCGTGATGACGCAGCCATTGAACGCGATGGCGCAGCTATTGAACGTGATGACGCGTGTGGTGTGGTTGGAAAAAATGCCTACTAATTCGGTCCAAAGTTTAATTAATTCAAAAAATTTGTTGTGACCGAACGAAAGGATATTTTTGAAAACTTTCTTCGGCAATATTGTTCTAAATTATGTCAGGAATCGATTGGTACATGTTTCAAGTCGCTAAGTGGTCTGGTTACCGAGATATGGGCAAAAACTGCATTTTTTCGAGGTTTTTTGGCTTTTCCGGGAAATCCATGAAAGAAACCCGGAATTTTTATGGCCTATGCTCATCCTCGTAAGTTGCTTAAAATAATTGCTTTTGGAACTAGTCATCGATATTGCTTCGTTGAGGAGGAGATACGACTTAAAGCTGCGGACACACATTCATCCATTCATCCATCCATCCAGAAATGACGGGTTAATAAACGCAATTCTCCAGAATGGAAATTGCGCTAAAAACATATGTCAACATACTGTTTTCCCCTTTTATGTTTCTGGGCAATTTTGTCAGTCCAGATTCGTTTTACTGCTGCACACTTCAAACAGTAAAACGTCCCTGAGTCCACCCAGCATTGATGGGTACCTAACTCATGTTAGGGAAAGTAAAGGCGACTGGGCAAAGTGCTGACCACAGCTTCCCTTCATGTGCCGAGGTCAAGAAACATCTGCCCAAATAGATCGCTAGGTTCAAAGAGTATTCTTTACTCTACTTGAAACTATGCATGTTATACGCCGAAGACATAAGAACATAATTATTCTCTCTACCTTGTCTACCCCACAGATAATCTTGAAGTGTACATTACTCTTTACATATCGGTATCCGTGAAACTGTGTTAAATGATCCATTTAATGAAGCGCATCAACTAATTGTAACAATAAAATGGCTAAAAAAACACAAAGTCCTTGCATAATTTATTTACATTTTTTAAGAGAACAAAATTTAAATGCCCATGAGAGCAGGAGACGGGGGACGGGGGGCATGGATGTCATCAGGCATTAGCATAATCAGGGATTTGATCCACTCCCACGCACCACGCAATCAGACGACCGGACCAAAAGCGGCCCATCATCCGGCGTGTGACGTCGTTTAGGGGTTCCAGCATCCGTTGTTTGGGTCCCACAGCAGTGTAAGGTCACGACCTTGGAACAATGACCAATTAACTGGTTCTAGGCCTGCAGCAGCAGGGGGGGGGGGGGGTTGAGGGATCAGTGTGATCCAGATATTGGACGTCACTGTCAAATTTTCCCGGCAAACTCGGAGGGCGTTGATTATTTCTTTATTGTAGAGGGGCAAATCATGCGAGCGCCGTCCGCATGTTTCGCAATATCAGTTTATATCTGGAATATTTTATTTTAATTTTTCTCTCTTATTGTTCCAACAATAGGGCTGGTAAGTAGGTCACCAACCAGTTCTGTGGCTCATGCAGGTTTTATTGAGCCGTAGAACTGGTTGGTGACCTACTTACCAGCCCTATTCCGTACGTAGCACATTTTAACTAAACCTTAATTACTCTCTCTCTCTCTCTCTCTCTCACACACACACACGCACGCACGCACGCACACACACACATACAGACATACACACGCATACACAGACACAAACACACACAGACACACAGACACATACACACACACAATGAAAAGCAAAAAAGTCAACAGATTTTGTTATTGTTGCTCAAGGTCATCGATACAACAACCTTACCCTATCTCCGCCCAATGCCGTGCTACAAACATAACGCTAGTCAGGCCTCATGTAAATCTAAACAGCTTCGATAGACAACCACAACAACTTTTTACGATTGTGACAACATGTACAACACTGCATCTTGACCCGCAACATACTTACTCTGGTTTCTGACAACAATGACGCAATGCTTAATGCACTTTGCACCAAGACACCCTTCCTTTGTCCAAGCTTTCGATGTAATTAATTATACCAAATTAATCCCTCCTCCCCCCCCCCCCCCTTCATCCATCTGATAGCGTCTGCAGTTTTCTCGATGGAGATCTCAG